TATTAAAGGGTTGTCTGTGAAATCTAATAGATATTATTGGGTCATTCATTGCACTGTAGCTTTTCTTTTCCTTGTGGCAACATTAGCAACACGACATCTTGAAAGTTTTCAACTAGCCATGTCATAAACACTATTTGTACTCAAAAAATTCTCAGCTGTTCCTCAGTAGCATGTTGAGTGCCATCCAACCACTGGGTTCCCCATCCTCTGGCACTAAATTGTCAATCATTTCATATTTTCTATGCATGTGGCTTTCTTGATAAAAATGCAGGAGTGGTTTACCATTGCATTCTCCCACTCAGTATGAATGGATACTTTTGCTATTGCCATGAAACTGATTATCTGCTTCCAGCATCTTCCTGTATTGTTTCTGCCCAATATAGGTGCCTGCTTCCTTTAGCTGGGCAGCTGGGATGACCTTTCTAGCCTTGTGTGAGCCTGTTGGGAATATACACTCCTGGCATACATTGCTGCCATTTTTGCTCATCCCTCTGAGGAACAACACCCCCCTCTCCCAAGCCTTGATGGGGCAGCACAAGAGGAATTGGAAGGGGGAATTTACATCTTTCAAATCTACCTACCTACCTACCTACCTACCTACCTACCTACCTACCTATTTGCACAGGACTGTAACAATGGGTTTCATCCATAGTTTAAATGTGTCAATACTCTGTCAGTAAATCACTGAAATAAACATCAATTAATCAATTACTCGGAACATTTTGCTTTCTGGATTAATTAATTAATGCCTACCAAGTTATAAAGTTTTAATTTCCAATAACCATCAAGATTTCTCAGTATGTTTATATAGAGGTTTATTTGTGTTTATTATCAGCTGAAGATGTACTTCTTCCCCATCAATCTATAGAACTTAAAAGCTAAAACCAGATATCAGAGAGATTAACAGTGGTAATGTATCATAGATTAATTTGTTAATTTGTTTTTGTATCATTGCCAAAGAATAGTGCCTTCTTATTTTGCTAATACTAATACACATTTCCCTTCCCTTCCCTTCCCTTCCCTTCCCTTCCCTTCCCTTCCCTTC